AAAGCAATACAAATTCTGGAAGTAGACACTTCAGGCTATCTTTCCATGTGTGTATCTCAAAACCGATTTTTTGACCGAAAATCACCATTTCTGAGGGGGGGCCCTTAAGATAGCATATAACACCATTCATTAAGATAGCTTGTAGAACAAAAAAGGCTTTTTACAAGGGGGACCATCAATAGGTATGATTTGAACATGTAACGGTAAGTGATATAAAAAAAAGATTAAGTTCATTTTTGAAAAGTTGAATTTGTCGCATTTGCAACTCCATAATGGCAATGTAATTTACGAAAATTCGTTTTTACAAGTTAAGCAAATTCGGCTGACTAGCGAGTAAATCTATTAAGAAAGTGTAAAAGGCGAATTTTTCATGAATTAAAAGAAAAAGTAAAGAGAAAAAATACTTAAATTACAAAAAGTTAAAATAGCAGAGACAAAGAGAGCGGATGATAAAAAAATGAAGTCCGTCAAAAGTAGTAAATATCACTGTTTGTCACTGTCCAACACTTTTCAGTTGCTCTTCCTTTTTCCCATTCTATCGAAGATTCTTATCTAGTTTCAAGTCGACAACTTAGTTGATCTTTGAGTTTTCAAGTGTTGTCTACTAAATTAGTCAGCTTCCTACTAGTCATTTTTCCTTTTATCATCATTATTTTTTGGATTTTACTGAGTTCTATTACAATTGTAAATTATTACATCCTATATAAATTGAACTTATCCAAATATTCGGTGATTCTAAGCGAGATCAGTTGCCACTAAAATTTGAGGGAACAACCACATAGTAACGATACATTATAACAGTACGACTCCATCAGATGCTATCGTGCAATAAACTAATAGTTATTTTTTAATATTGAGATTTTAATAAATGTCATATTTACAAGCGAGTGTAAAAATCGTACAGTTTTTACCTAAATCCTTTTTACTTCTATCAACGCAAAAAATGTATCTATAAATAAAGTGGAGAACAAAACGAGTGAAGTACTGAAATTATTGCACTCCTTATCATACCATATTAATTCCTCACTGTGTATAAATAATAGTATGATAAAAGTTTTTGCTATTCAAAAACTAAGCGGAATATTACTAAGCCCAAAAAACCGTTGTAAATAGAAGATATAACATGACGTAACACAAATGAGAAAAAATGAACATCTGGAAATATGCAATAGAAATCATTTGAAATGCCTTCCTTATAGTTAGCGAGATGAGGCCTTATTATTACTTCATGAATTACATAAGTGAATTAATTTCTCAGACAAATATATTCTTAAACTGCTAAGAGCGTACTATTTTCGATATCGTTACAGTTAAACAATACGTACGTTTGTTGTGCAACATGGTGCTACTGTTTTGAGTATGGTCAAAATGAAAGATATTACAAATTAGGTAGAAGCTCGTTTACCATTGAGTAGAAATTTGAAAGAAGAAGAATATTGTGGTATACATGTGTTACAATGACTTTTTAAAATACTTTCAAATATCATATTTTCATTTCTTTCGTTCTATTTAAAATGTGTTGTATTCTACATTGTTGTTTTCAAGTATTTTCAAGTTTAGTCTGATAAAAAAAAACTATCATGAAAAGTACTTGGACTATAATGATCATTTCCTATGCAAAATATTGTTGATGAGTTGCTGCTGTCTGTGTTTGTTTTAGCGAAATTCTCTGTATACTACCTCCACAGCATGACTGAATGATTTGCGAATAGTGTCCCTCAAGATACTTCAGTGGATAAAAAATATATCATTTGAAGATATCTGTACAGTGTAAAATCTAAAATCATTATCAATTTTGAAATGCTTGCTATTAATATCTGTCGGTTAGCATCAGAACTTAATGAAATAAGCAGTGAATGATGTCATAATCGGCATGAGTGTATCATAAACTTAGTACACCATAAAAAAGAATCACAAAATAAACAAATATTTATTACAGTCTTTCATCCTGATTGCAATGTCTTTACCATTACACTAGGCAAAAACGTTATGTTAAACATTTTTACTTTCATCTTCTGATGTCACTGTTTTCTTCTCACTTTATTATGTCACATGTTTACCATTTGAAACAACAGACCCGCGTTTCATTTTAGTGGGAGATTACAGTAGGAGTACCTTTTTTTCCCATTATCTTTAATATATCTAGTCTCGAAAAATCACATAGAAAGTGTCACGATATCTTGGAATAACACCTAGTGGCATACTGTTGTCATATCAATAGTATTGGTACGCTTTCAAAGTACCACCAGACAAGGTGTGACACTTCAATACTTTTACCATGGCGATCACCACCGCACCGCACTTTACTTTAAAAGGAATTTCAAACATTGATCAAAGTAAACTATGTTGTTTTATTATTGTAACTTATCACTGAGAGGATCTCTATACCTTTATCTTAAGTCGGTCGAGAGTTTCAGAGGCTTGTCCGACCAAAACTGATTGTAGATTTGGGTTCTCTCTAGCCAATTACCTTATACGTAACAACTTCTGGGTCGGAATATTCTCGAAAAAATTATTTAGTAAGGCGCTGCGAAAACTTTTTCGAGTGCACTCTGACTCGGAAGTTTTTGCATACAAAGTAATCGACTATGAAGAATCTGCATCTACAATCGATTTTCCCCGAACAAGCTTCTAAAAATCCCCGATCGACTTGATATATCTTAAGTAATTCTCATACGAGAGTTTAGAAAATCTGAAGCAAAGTCGATAACTTGAAATCTCCAAGTAGACAGAGCGGGTTTTTATTGTTCTTTGTATTGTAAGTTAAGGAATTACTAATTGCTAACAATATAAGATTAGTCATACCAGAGCCGCTTCGTACGTGAAACTATTCACTGGAAATATAATACCATATAAAACAGTCTCCGGATTATCTCATGATAGCTGGAAATAATTAAACATAAAAATGATGAATTGAAAAATTATTAAGGAATTCCATTATACTCTGTCAGTTGAACAAAGAAAATATTACGTAATTAAAAGATTATTACATGTTTATTTTCAATTAAAACTATAATAGAATCATCCTTGAAAATAAACTGCTAATATGACGAATAAATTGATCAATTTTTCTTTTTTCTTTTTTTTAATTTTGTTAAACAATATAGTTAATCCAATTATAAATCTTTCTCAGCATTTATGACTATTCCATATCTTTTAAGAGACAATTTTACAAAACAAACGCGGTAAATTTTAATTTCATCTTCAATTTTCCATTCTTTCTGTTCTAAGTATAACCTAAGAATGGAAGAGAAGACTGTCTTCCACTATTGTACATAATCAACCATACAATAATTAAATAGTACCCGGTCATGGCTGAGATATTATAGCACAATTAATCATATCTCTTTTATGTGTCAACAAAACAAAATGTGTGTGTGTGTGTGTGTGTGTGTGTGGGTACGCACAAAAAGAAATCTAAACTTTTCCTTATATATTTATGAAAGAATAGGCTTGTTATTATAGTTAAAAAGAAAAGAAAAGAAACGATGAAAACGTATTTACCAGTGTAGTGAATGATTCAGGTGATGAATAGCTATAATAACGAAGAGAAATAAAATAAAAGAACAAAATAGGATGTTAGTGGACATCAAACTCAGCTAATAAAACACGAAAATAAAGCGGGTGAAAATCAACATAACTACGAATGTCAACAAGCGAAATTGATTCAGCAAGTGTTGATATATTTGACCCTTATCGAGCAACTGGATTATGGCACATTATGGGTACAAATCTCAACATGTGGAAAGATAAAGTTTTACCAACAATAAATTATAGTATTAACGAAAAATTAGCCGATGGTCGTGTTCGAATAAATGATTTAGTTGAATACTATACTAAGCGTCCATGCGTTGGATGGAAACCATCAAGTGTTGAAGGAATTGATACACAATTATCCATAAAACCAAGTCGATTTCAATGGCGAGGAAATGGTATTCTTAAATTATTTACTAGTGATTTTGGATTTGTATTTGTGGACAATGAGACACCATCAGATCGACCATATCAATGGGTAGCCACTTGTTTTGGTGCAACATTATTTTCATCTGAAGGAATTGATTTGATGACGCGAACACGTCAACCACCAACTTATGTATTAAATAATTTTGTACAATTTTGTTTAGATAGTCCAATTTTAAGACAGAAAGCTCGTGCCATGTTCTATACAAGAGGCAAAGCAGAAGATGACATCTACTATATAAGAGATTTACAGTATTAATTTTATACTATTTTATTTTTTATTGCATATATGTATATAACCCACGTGACTAAGAGGGATAAATGAGAGATAATAGCAATCAAATGAAATATCCGCTAAGTTGGATAAGTATTCGATGTATTTTTACAAAAATATGAACAGACTAACTTGGATATGACTAAACTCTAGTCTAAGTCAATATGTCTTGCATTTGAAAAACTTTAAAATAAATCTAAAAATACGAGGGTTTTCTAAGTTTGTTTGACTATGAACAAATTATAAAATATTGCTGAAACTATCTGTGCTATTCGCAAATCCCTCAGTCAAGCTGTAAGCTAGTGTACAGAGAATTTGGCTAAAACAAACACTGTTAGCACCGGCTTCATCAATTGAAGTTTGAACAGGAAATGATCATTATAATCAAAGTACGTTTCACTATATTTTGGTCTATTTTGAATTTTATTATATTAGTTTAATCATCGACACTAAATCAAGAGCATTCAATGCAGATGCAATAGTTCACCATGATCAATGAGACGTGTATTTTCGTATGTAAATGTTAATCACCACAAGATTATGGAATGTTAAATTTAACTTTTGATTATTTCGTACATAAATGAGTACGAATACAACATATCTCAATATAATTCTAAGCTGTAAAATATCATATTACGATTTGTGAATTCAATATCAATTTCACCGGAAAGACCATACTATTTTTGTTTTCATTTTATGGATGATGAATATGGGATTGCGCGAACGAATTAGAAATGACAAAAATTGTGTATCACAATCTTTTTTCTACTTTACAAAATGTAAACTGTGTAGTATTTTATAACGAACTATTTTTGTCATGCTTATTCCCGTTGATTTGTGTATCTGTTAAGTGATTTTTATAAAACAGAAAGATGCAACAAAATTTCGTGTACCTATTAATCTTTCTTATGATAAAAGAAAACTAATGGTCTATTTTGCATTATGGTTTAGTGAGATGATTCATCAGAAGAATTGCGCCAAGACGTGTTTCTGTTGTTGATATGTTCGTTTATATGTAAGTCGTAAGTTGATTAAAAATTATGAATGGTTCAGTGATATTGTGCAAAAAGAAATAAATCGTTATGTATTTGAAATTAAATGTGAAATAAATGAATGCCGATACTGTAAAATTAAGGGCCCCCCTTAGAAATGATCTCCGACATCGTACATTCGATTTTGAGGAAACTTTCCATAAATATTGGGCACAATACGTTATGAGAATAAAAATTCTTTGTTGTCTCCAAGTCTTACCATTTAGGAGTTTTCTAGAGATCAAGGTTCAAAGAGAAACCTGAGGTTTTTCCGAAGACTTTTTAATATACTTCGAGCTAGAGAGTTCGGGTTTGTTTGCGGCTAAACTAGACTTCCATCTACATGGACTGACAGGCGCCGACTTTCCAGTTACGGCTTTGCTGGTTTTCTTAGACAACCAACAACCTCAAAACTCCGAAAAGAACTTCCCGGTTTTCTAGAAATTCCCAGTTGACAAAAAGCTAAGATCTAATTGAAAAATCGGCGCTGGTCAGCTCATGTAGTTAGGTGTCTAGTTTAAAATAAAACAAACTCGTACTCTTTAGCATGAAGTATAATATATTATATTGTATATAATATTAAAAAATCTTGGGAAAAACGTCAGGTGTAACTTCCAGGTAGAGAAAATGCTGTGCATCGGGTGGTCCATTTTAGGACTTGTAGAAAAATGCTTGTAACTTTTTGACACAAGGTCATACTGGGTTGTGCGAGGTCTTAAATTGCACAGAAAAGTTTGCTCTATAAACCTACGCGTTCAGAAAAAATTTAATTGCATAGGTAACCAGAAAAAACTGTTATTTGAAGATCTTGTTTTTCGAGACGCCTAGAAAACTTGCTCCAAAGCCATGAAAAATCACTTCTGGGACCGAAAGCGACAGACAGAATCTGAAAGTAGACACTTCAAACTATATTTTCATGTGCTTATCTTAAAATCGATTTTTGAGCGAGAATCATCATTTCCGAGGAGGAAGACCCCGTCAGTCATAAATGGTACATTTTATCTTTACCTAAATAGTCAGTAGTAACAATAAGGGTCCAAATTAGAATAAGTCTTTGTTTATCAGAGATTTGTGATGAATTTGACATATAAAAAATTAACAGGAATATGTGTTATGGAAATAAAAGTGAATTCAATTTTGTGATAAATAGACGCATCAGAAAAACGCATTGTCATTATAGAATTGAACAATTTGCATAAGTTGATATTTAAACTGCAAATTGTTTTTTTGTTTCATGTTTTAGAGGAAAAACTAATGGCAAAACGTGTCAAACGCCGTGTAATTAAAAATATCGTTATGAAGAAACAATCATGATTATTCAATTTCAAGTAATTTGCTTGTTTTAACCGGCTTTATATTTTGCAGTATTATCTGGTGTTTTTTTTGATTGTCTGAATTTGTCTTTTCTCTCTATTCTTCCACGAAATATATATTTAGCTTTATGGGATACAGATGGAAGAGGGTACAAAGTGTATCTCAAGATGTTTTTAGCTATGAAAAAGTTATACTGATGGTTGACTGAATATGTGTTTTAGTTTTTTTATTCATTTTAGTCCTTTTAGCTTTTACTCCCTTTAGTCGCTTTGTAAGGTACTAGTCATAGTTAATAATAGTTTAACTATATAGATGTTAGAGTGCAAATGTACGCATTTATTCGACACAGACACACGCGTAAAGCTATGTTTGCTCATGAATTGGAAGGGGAGAGGTGAGTGCGAGTGAGCCTGTAAAGTATTTACATTCTAAAGAGTCATCAATTACGTAGAAATGTAAAGAGAGTAAAATAGTGACAGATACAAAAAGTACGAAAGTATAATAAGAATAATAAGCTAAAATGGGAACTGTAGCCTTGTATGTAAGCTGGAAAGATGTCGAGAAAAAATTTTTGATCATCTTCCAGCCCTCGTATATGTCAAAACAATTTAAGAAAAATGCTGTTCGTCTTTTATCTAGAGTGCTCCTCTGCTCTGTACTGAAAAATTTTTCAATTTGAAGTTGAACATAAGTTAGCTTAATGTTGAGCAAAGTTTGGGCTTGATTTCAAAGTTTGGGCTTGATGAGTTTGAGATCATTTCTACCGTTTCATTATCTATTTCTGGAAAATTTATGAGATTTGCCGTCAACGACTGAAAAAGATTCAGTTTTTTGATTTCGTAAACTTTTCTTTTCATTCAAAATTTTTTCTCATACATAGTCTGATAGAGCACAGTGTTCTCTTTACAATTAAACCACTTCTGAAATTTTTCAATTGTTTTTCTTCGAACACATGAGCATCGTCGCAAATGTCCTGAAAAAAGTAACCTGTTTAATGTTATCTGCCATACTCAAAATATTAATGGTTTCAATTCCGGTAAATTATGAACTTCCGAAAATTTCATCCGATCGGACTCAAAACGGGTAAGTTCTATGTTTTTGATTTTGTAAAAATATATCATTATAGGAAAAAAAAAGTAAAAATTTTAATTTTGATATATTGTATTGAATAAAAGTATAAGTGCATTCAGATGAAATTTTCGGAGGACTTAAACATACATGGATGAAAATCAATGTTTTTATACCACCATATGATCGACTTTATTATTTAATAAACATTGAAAAAGTTGGCTTGGTCAGCATGAGATCTTTGTTATTAACAGATGAATTGAATAGAAGTTTTTACATTTCAATGTTATTTGGAATTAAATGTCTGTGTACTTTTAGCTTCATCGGCATTTTATTTCAGTTTATCGAACAAGCTGATGAGTCAAATAACACTTGTACCCGTTCATTATTATGCAAAGAATTTTAATAAAATTAAATCGGCCATATGGTGCGTGTAAAGACCATAAAAACCTGCTCACTGTAGATAAAATGTCTGCTACACCTAGTTTATGGGTGAGGATATTAATTGGATTTTTTATGACTATTGTCATATTTATCTAACCATGCGTGCAACAGAATATATGATACCTGAATATTATGTCAAAAAACGACTAAACAAAAAAAATCACATGGTGGTAGGGGTCCGGTTCGTTCGTCGTGCAACAGTTTGAACAATACTTAGAACGACGTTTGATAAAGACACGTAGATAGCATAAAAATATGCATGGCTATTGCCTAATACCTGACTAACGTAAGCTTACAGGATCTTTTCATGAAAAAATAATGAAATGATTTAAGGACACTCCTACTTCCTTAAACAAAAAAGGATCGATATTTAAACGAAACATGGTGTATGACAGAGTTAAGCATTCTCTACGATTTGAGACCATTCACAGATCTCTTCGACCTTAAGCGCTTTTCTTGAGGAGAGGATATGAATTATTTAACGTCCGTCATTTTATACTCAAAAACTAATTTTAAATTTTCGACATTTTTTTCTTTCTTTTCTTTCCTATAAAAATTAATTTTTTCAAGATAGGCTGACAAGGTTTCTACAGAGTGAAATATCTTTCAACTGTCCCCGATCTTTCCTTTAAAAGTTATTAGCATTTTACCAGAAGCTATTGACAGTGAAGAGTTAATTTTGAATAAGCGGCGACCAACTACATGGGAATGATATTCAATCGATCACCAAAATCGCAAACCTGTATCTTTTATTGTTTTTTAAATAATATACCCTAAAATAGAAGCTTTAGCTTGAGTAACAGGAGGCCAATAATGAAAACCAAATATATAACCTTTACAATAAAAGAGCAACGTACAAGATAAAAATCTTAATAAATCAAATTTTAACCACAGTTAAAAACTACCTATATTACTCTTTATAATAAAAATAATCTTGTAGAAAGTATTATACAGACAATACAATTAGATTGCAAAGAGAACGTTTCTAATTTCCTTTTCCTAGTTAGAAAAGACAACAAACGATAGAATAAAGAATGCTATTCAGTATTTCAGATAGCGGGAATTTTCTTAGGTTGAATAGAGAATACATAAAATTCTGATGAGTCCTGTAAGAGTTAGCACTTTTTC